AATCAATTAACAAATGGGGTACAGATCTAAACAGAGAATTCTCAACAGAAGAATCTCAAATGGCTGAGAAACACTTGAGATATTCAACATCCTTAGCCATCAGGGAAATGCAAATCAAAACAACTCTGAGATTCCATCTTACACCTGTGAGAATGGCTAGGATCAAAAACATAAGTGACAGCTTATGCTGGAGAGGATGTGAAGCAAGGGGAACACTCTTCCATTGTTGGTGAGAGCACAAACTTGTACAGTCACTTTGGAAGTCAGTTTTTCAGAATCAATCTACCACAAGACCCAGCCATACCACTCTTGGGCATATACCCAAAGGATGCTCAATCATACCACAAGGACACTTGCTCAAGAACACCAGCAGCTAGCTTTATTTGTAATAGCCAGAAATTGGAAACAAACTAGATGTCTTTCAACCGAGGAATAGATAAAGAAAATGTGGTACATTTACACAATGGAGTATTACTCCACTGTTAAAAACAAGGACACCAGGAAATTTGCAGGCAAATGGATGGAACTAGAAAAAAAATTCATCCTGAGTGAGGTAATACAGACCGAGAAAGACAAACATGGTATGTGTTCAGGTGGAAGCTCCACCTCAACCCCTCTCCCCCATCTCCTCTCTCCAAACCTTGCCCTGTCTCAGTAAACCCACCAAACAGTGGCTCCTCCCACAGAGATGTTCAAGACCACACCTACAGTGTATTTAAACTGTCTCCTAGAGACTGGCCACGTGGTTTTTTGGTCTCTTCTTCCTATCTCCTCTCTGGGGCCTGAAAATCATCTGGGAGTGTTTCACCCATTAAACCTGGACTTTTAATTCTTAATTTGGTTTGATTCGGTTTGATTTGGATTACTGCGTTGGCAGAGAGGCTTAATGTTGGGGTACAGAAAGTTTTCAGTGTGTACTTACTCATAAGTGGATATTAGCTGTAAAACAAAGGATAACTATGCTATAATCCACAGACCCAGAGAGACGGGGTGACAAGAAGGGCTTGTGGGGGGATGCCCAGATCTCCCTGGGAAGGGGAAATAGAAGAGACTTCGTGAATGGACTGAGGGTGGCTGGGAATGGGAATATTGATTGTGTTTTTATGCGCGCATTTAGGTATCTGGGTTTGGGATGATTATAGGTCTAGATGCTGTTTTCTGGGTTTGTCTTTGTTGGGTGTTTTGTTCCTTGATTTCTGTTTCTTCTCTAGATTTTTGGAGAGTGTGATGGCTGTGTGTTACCTGTTTTACTGGCCTGCTCAGCTGGTATATTCACAGGGAATGCCTGCTAGTGTTGGAGGCTGGGATACCGAGATGAGTTAGGAAGGAAGGTTAGAGGAGAAGGTCTTTGTGGTCCACTGGGGATGGAGTCAGACAGGAAAGGAAGACGACAGTGGGTTTCCTGCCTCAGAGCTGGGGGTGAGACTGGGTTGGGTGTAGGGATTGGATCTCAGGAGCAGCAGGAGAGGTGTGGGTTTACCCTTAGCCTACTTGTTTGTCCTGGCCCTTGGGTTAGTCAGGGTTGCCTGCTGGGATTGGGGTCTGGGACAAAGCAATAAGTGTGGGGGTGGGGAGGTGGCTGTGGAAATCAGAAGATCTGTGAGATCCATAGGAAGTGGGGGGACGGGTGAGCTGGGGATGAGACTGGGGGATTAGATCTGGGGGAATGGCAAGAGAAAAGAAGGGCAACCTACCTGGCTTTCTGGCAAGTGTGGCCTTTACTTTTATTTTTATTTGCATCTGTGTGTATGCCATGTGTGTGTGGTGGGTGGCGCCTCTGGAGTCTGGAGAACAGCACTGGATTCCCTGGAGTTCAGTTACAGGCAGTTTTGTTGGAGTTGCCTGACCCGGGGTGCTGGGAATCAAACTCATGGTCTCTGGAAGAGCATCGAGCACTCTCAACTACTGAGCCATCTCTCCAGCCCCAGTTTTTGCAATTTTTAGTGTCTACCATATGTGAGAAAAATATTAATTTTTAAAGGGATGTTATCTTAAAAAAAGAAAAGGTTGCCGGGCGGTGGTGGCGCACGCCTTTAATCCCAGCACTCGGGAGGCAGAGCCAGGCGGATCTCTGTGAGTTCAAGGCCAGCCTGGTCTACAGAGCGAGATCCAGGAAAAGCGCAAAGCTACACAGAGAAACCCTGTCTCGAAAAACCAAAAAAAAAAAAAAAAGAAAAAAGAAAAAGAAAAGGTCTTGGGGGTGTCCTTATTTAAAAGGCAGTGGGCTCCAAAAGGAAGCGCGTTTTTTCCTTCAGATGATGGCAGAAATGTATGGAGACACTCTTCGTTATAAGGACTCCAGAGAAGGTGCTACTGGGCCCGGGAAGGGAAGGGTTAGATGTTGTTCAATGCACAGAGCACCTCCCACTAAAGAAGAGAAATGCTAAGAATACTTCCACCTGAAATCTGTGAAGCTTCAATTTTATAAATAGTGTCTATTAAATGTAAAAGCAAATACATTTTTACTAAAACTTCAGGGAAAAAAATAACAAATTTACGAGACTCTTAAGCTGGGGTTCTTGTTTAACTACATTCTTTAAGCCTGTGCAGTTTGCCTCTTAACATGACATTCTCAATATCCAGTCATTGTTTCTGAGCAGAAGTTTTGATTGATAGCTGCCATAAGATACGACTTCAAATACCCTTGTCCCTTGAAGAAATAAAGTACTCAGAAGGTGGAAGTGTTTAAACTAGTTCCAGATGGGTCTGAATGCTTTCACTAGCAAAGCATGCCCACTAGTAAAACAGCACATTGCAGAACGGGGAGGATAACTGTGACATGGTCATTCCTCCAGTAACCAAGCTCCTAAAACATCCCAGATGCAAGAAAATAAGAAACATCGATCCAGGCTCATGCTTCTAATCTTAGCACTTGAGAGGCTAAGGCTGAGAATGGTGTGAGTTCAAGGCTAACCTGGACTAGATAGTGAGTTCCGGAGTGAGATCATGTAAAAAAACGCAGGGGTGGGGTGGCTCAAAACTATCTGATAAGAACAGAATGTGTTTAGCTAATATTAATATATTTAGTTCTGTGATGGCTAATTTGTTAGTTTGATTAGTGTATCTGTGAGGGTGTTTCCAGAGGTTGCTTGTTTGGTTTGGTTTTGGTTTTTTGAAACAAGACGCCTGTGGAGGCCAGGATCTACATCCTGGGTCAGCTTTTAGAAGCCTCAGAAAATGGAACTTCTGCCATCATTGGCTCTTGAGGAATTAAAGTCCTAGAGGCAGAAATTAAGGTTGAAATGAAAGGCAGAGGGACTAAGGGGTCTTGGCATTGGAAGGAACTCCTCACCCCTGTTATCAGGAAATCTCAGAAACAGGATTACACATTTGTCATCAGACATGCTCTGACTTCCCCTCCACTCAGTGTCTAGACTTCCTTAACCTTCTGACCTTCGCTTTCATCTACTCAGCCTATTCACCTGTACCACATGCCTCATATATTACCTTGTGATCTCATTTCCTAATGAAAAGCTCTTTAGAAAAGAGAAGCATATCAAAGCTTTTTCGTGTAAGCTTTTGGCACTGTAACTCCAAAAGCCACCAACATCATCTATTGTTTTATTTTGTTTGTCTACCTGAGACAGAGTCTCATGTAGCCATGCTGGGCTGAAACTCACTGTGTAGCTGAAGATAGCCTGAACTCTCATCCTCCTGCTTTCTCTATACAGTACTAAGATTATAGGTTCTCGTCACTACAAAGGGCTGCACAAATAGCTCCTGTAAACATACTTAAATGTGACTCTCTTTAGGGAAACCTCACTCACTGCGTAGTGCTGGCTGGCCTGAAACTGGCTCTGTAGACCAGGCTGGCTTTGAACTTACAGA